TCGTGATCCCTTTGCGGGTCGAACAACCTTTTCACAGGGGTCGCCTAAGACCATCGGAAAACACATATATAATTACATATTGTTTTTGTGATTAATCACTATGCTTTAATGATGTTCAATTTGTAACAATGAAAATACATCCTGCATATCAGATATTTACATGACGATTCATCACAGTAGCAAAATTACAGTTATGAAGTAGCAACGAAAATAATTTTATGGTTGGGGGTCACCACAACATGAGGAACTGTATTAAAGGGTCGCGGCATTAGAAAGGTTGAGAACCACTGGGCTAGGAGCTATTGTATGGGACAGCATGGGTCTAGCCCAGTGATGGCGAACCTATGACACGCGTGTCAGAGGTGACATGCAAACTCATTTTTTTGGTTGATTTTTCTTTGTTAAATGGCATTTAAATATATAAAATAAATATCAAAAATATAAGTCTTTGTTTTACTATGGCTGCAAATATCAAAAATTTCTATATGTGACACGGCACCAGAGTTAAGTTATTAGGGTTTTTCAAAATGCTGACACGCCGAGCTCAAAAGGTTCGCCATCACTGGTCTAGCCTGTTAAAATATACGATGTTGCACCTTCTGTAATGTGAGGACACAGCAAGGTGGCGCTGGCTATGAATCAGGAAGTGGGCTCCCACCCACTGTAGCACCCTGGTCTTGGACTACTAGCCTCCAGAACCATGAGAAATAAATTTCTGTTGTTTGTAAACCAAAAAAAATTAATTAATTAAAAAATATCTATAATGTCAAACTCCAGGTCCTATTAGCTGTGGATTGGATAGGATAGGTAGGTCCTGTCTGGAAATGATTGACAACCCTGGCTCGTACGGACAATCTGAGTCGCACAGGGGTGCGAGGTCTGGCCAGCAGCCGCATCCTGCAGCCACCAACGCAGCCCCGTCAGTTTTCCATCCTAACCCACCTCCTGCTCCGTTCCCTGCAGCGCTGGCTGAACCCTTCCAGCCGAGTAATTTGAAGTGAACTGCCTAACGTGGCTAATGTTTTGCCCTCACAGCTCACAGAGAAGTCCCCCAGGAAAAGAAAGGGGGGCCTTGAAAACATCCTGTCGTCCTCTGAACAGACACTTTACGAGACCCTTTGCCTGGGCAATCCTGGGAAACAATGGAGAGACCAGAAAAGGACACTGAGAGAGAAGGCAAGGGCACCGCTTCCCGCTGTTCCAACGTTTGGGAGCACACGCTCAAAGCAGCAAGCTTAGGACTGGGTGCCGGAATCCACCAGGAGACCCAAGGCCTCCCTGCCCGTTCCCTTCTCTGTGCTCTCAGAAGCTCCTGGGAGTTAGCTCCTCCCTTGCAAGTTGATCTGCCAATAAACTGGCAGAGAGAGGAGGGGGGGAGCCTGGCCTTGCCCTCAGGAACCACCCCCCTCACCCCTTCCAGGGAGAGAGGAGGTAAAACCTAGGACCTGACCCAAAGGTTTCCATCTGGCTAATGGTAAGGATCCCTGGGCTTTGCCTAGGGGGTCCCCATGCTAGGAAGGGCAGACTCACCCTCCGGGCAGTGGGGACTGTGAGCTAGGGTCTGGGACTTATTCCCAGGGTGATGGAGGTCAGAGGTCAGCCAAGCTGGTGCCATTAGGACAGGTACCCCCTAAAGGAGGCTGAGAGGGGTAATCTCAAAGCCATGCTTATTTGGGAGAATCAAAAGAAAAATTGGCCGTAACCGTTTGGCTCAGTGGATAGAGCGTCGGCCTGTGGACTGAAAGGTCCCAGGTTCGATTCCAGTCAAGGGCATGTATCTTGGTTGCGGCACATCCCCAGTAGGGGTGTGCAGAAGGCAGCTGATTGATGTTTCTCTCTCATCGATGTTTCTAACTATCCCTCTCCCTTCCTCTCTGTAAAAAATAAATACAATATAAAAAAAATTGACAGTGTGGCTCAGTGATTGAGTGTCACAGTTCCATTCCTGTTCAGGGCACATGCCTAGGTAGTGGGCTCAAACCCCAGTGGGGGGCATGCAGGAGGCAGCCGATCCATGATTCTTTCTCATCATTGATGTTTCTATCTTTCTCTCTTAAATCAATCCTATATAATAAAACCCTAATATGCAAACAACAGAACGACCGATCGCTATGATGCACACTGACCACCAGAGGGCAGACACTTAATGCAGGAGCTGCCCCCTGGTGGTCAGTGCGCTCCCACAGGGGGAGCACCACTCAGCCAGAAGCCAGGCTCATGACTGGTGAACCCAGGGGCGGGGCCTCTCCCGCCTCCACAGCAGCACTAAGGACCCCTTCGGGGTCCCAGACTGTGAGAGGGCGCAGGCCTGGCTGAGGGACCCCCCCGCCCCCCAGTGCACGAATGTCATGCACCGGGCCTCTTGTAAAAATATATTACATATAAAAAAAGAGCAGATTCTGGAGTCAGACTGTCTGACTTTGGACCTAGCTATACAAAAAAGGAAGGAAAGAAGGAAGGAAGGAAGGA